AGATGATTTTCACATCATTAATTATGGCGATTGCCAGGAAATGTCAAAAATGTCTTTTTAAACCAAATCTATGTTTTACAAAGCAACGGTTTGTTAAATATAAATATGCTAATGCCCGATTACTGAGATAGTATACATTCAGAATTTATTATTTTTACATAGCACTATAAGTACAGCCAAGAAATAACGTCTTCAGCAACGTACATTTTCGAGTACATTACAGAGTATACACTTATGAAAATAAAATATGTTAAGTTTTACTTTTGAAATGACATTTTTTTTCTAAATTTAGGCTTTCAAAGCAATTTAAGGAAATGGAATATTTTCTATTAGTTCTCCAAAGTTTGATGTCATGTTTCTTTCCCTTCTCACAGTCATTTAATCCTGGTACGTATGGGCATTACACGATCAACATAGTTTTCCTTGCAAAATGTCCTGAAGATTGTGCAAATACACACCATCAGCCACACATTCTCATCAATTGCTAAAAACACTGAAACACAGCAGCTTGCTCCAGAACATTAAAATATTAGACAAACCAAAGCATCTGTCCTTTCACTGAATAAGTCAATATTTTTTTTCCCCCTCTGGAGTACATAACAATACTCAGAAAGACTTATTCTCTGCAAAATATTACATTGCTGTGAAAGTTCAGTAGACTTGAGAAACAGCTAGAATAGAAATCAAAGCTTAATTACCTACACTTGATTTCTTAAAAAAGAAACATTTGTGTGCAGCATATACATAAAAACAACATCCAAATTCCCCTCCTTTTCAGATAATAAAAGGATCGATAGTAACACACAAAGACCTTTCCAGCCAGGACAGAAACTTGAACCCTTGAGGGCTGTCTTCTGAGGATCCCTTTGGAAGCCTCAACATGAGAGAAGTGGTGCTGAAAAAGGCAAAGCAGGAGCTACAATGATAGCACAAAAGGTGCTAAAAGTTAGAGACCACAAAAAGCTTTCCTAATCTGTTAACAGGTTAAGACTGGGAGGAAGGGAGGAGAAAAAAAAAAGAAAAGCTTTAAACACTCTGTGACTTCTATTTCCCATTCCTCTTTATTGGGAGATTTTACCATTGTACCCTTTTGGTTTTGAAGTATATTTGCAGGAAATATTTTCAGAAAAATCAGTTCTTCAAAGTGCGTCAAACTCAAAGTAAAAAATTATCCACCATTTTGGTTGATTCAGTTTGCACAGTTTTAGTCTGAGGTATTCCTTTATGTCAAATAAAGGTAGTAAGAAAAGAGTCCACTGAAGGAAAAGAACATTCAAAATCTCAGAAAACAAAAATGACAGAAAGGAGAACTAATTAGTAAATAGCATACATATGTAAACACACACAGACACACACACACACACACAAAAAAAAAACACTTTGATGTCATCTTTTTATGAATACTTACTATAAGGATGGTAGTCTTCGGCTGTATAAATTTCAGCCTCATCCCGATATAACTGGTAAGTTAGTCTGTTAGAATTTGGAGAGTCAGGGGAGCTCCACTGGAGCCTGATAACAGAAGAATTGAGAACTTCTCCTGTAGGAGGAGGTTGTTGGAGTGGAGCTAAAAAACACATATATGCAAAGAGAGTATTTAAAAATAAAAGTAATCAATAATTGCACAAACAAATTGAAATAAAGTTGAAGGCATTATTTTCTTCAAAGGAACACTTTCAAATAAACGTATAGCCACTGAGGTCAGACATTAAAAAACTAGACTCATCTATCTAAATGTTCTCCAAGTACTAAAGCAAATTGAAGTACTAAAACAAATTTAATATCCATCCCCATGAAATAAGATAGAGTACTGCATGTTTCAAAAAAAAAATTCCTATTTTCTTTTATATGCTTTTCAAGAACCCTGTAAAAATGGAACATGCTTATCTGGTCACATTGTTGATCTCTCCAGTTCAATCATCATTTCTGCTTTCAGAGCATTATTTCCATTTCGGCTTATGCCAGTTGCTGCATACCTTCTTGCCGTAGAATAGCAGTAAATACAAAGTCCACAAACTAATTATCAAAATGCTATAATAAAACTATTTAATTAAGTCCATAAAAAACAAAAAGGGCTAAATCTTGAAGCTTATTTGGATGACTCTCATCATCACTCCCCCCCCCACTGGAATTTAAATCTGAGTGAGGTGTCTAGCTTTTTAACAGATCAGTTTGAGATTCTGTTCTCTTTCATGAAAATATTGCTCTACCATAACTTTGGGGAAGCTGCTACTTAATTACACTGGTATCAGTAAAGCAAAAAAACAATTCTGAATTTCACTTGCCAGAGGTCTCTCACTATCAGAAAAAGCAGTCCAAGCTCTTCCCATATTCCTTTTGAAATTCAAGTGTATGATCACGGTGCTCTCTGAGACATGGGCTATTACTCAAAATATATTTTACATGTGTAGGTACACATGCAAAAACACATATGTACACACACATCTACGTTGTTATTCACGACAGAGCGTAAAACTATATTGTGCTATGAAACCTCCAGCCAAGCTATTATTACCAAGAGAAATCTCCATCATCCTCAGTATACCACACACTAACACCAAACAAGAAGGTGCTTTTGGACAGCTAATAGGATGGCATATTGCCATCTTCTGACCCTCCCTTCCAACTGTGTCACCGTCAGTGGATCTCACTCCTAGGGGTTTTTTTAGCATGTACCTAAAATTCTTCTTGAAGACCACAAAGCAGAATGAGACGAAGAAATGTTCCGTTCCTACTGCAATCTCTCGGGCAAGAAATAGGAGGTATTTCTAGAGTCCATTAGACTGAGCACACACTATCATCATCTCATTACAAAGCACACCAGGGTTTGCTGCCAACCAGGGTTTGCTGGGAGTTCAGCTGAGTAAGAAGCACTCACATGCTAAAGCGCCGATAACAGCAAAATTTGAGAATCAAAGAAATATGTGCTCCTAAATTCCTCTGGCACCTTTGAATAGTTCCATCCACCAAATAGGTGCTTACAAGCCATGTAAGCTGAGAAACCAAATGAACTTATTGGAACAATTCTTCATTCTCCAGTCTGTCTGACGCTACTGCATGTTACTCCAACTTGTATGTTGTTCTGCAGCTTAGTTGCATAAACAAAGTACCATATTTCTGATTTTTATACAGTATTTAAAATATTGCTTGGCAAAAAAAGTTGAAAAAAAAAAGCCTTTTTCTTAATCTTTTTATTTGGACAATAACATCTTACATTTAAAGATAAACATCTTACATTTGCTTCTACTGGAAAAGATTTACAGTAAATAATAACACATGTCAGCACAATACCACGGTACAATGAAAACAATCACAAATAGCAAAGGTAAACATTAAACCAAACATCAAATCTAGGCAAAGCTCCTTATTTATGCAACAAGTTAGAACATTTTGATATGATAAAAGATTGCAACTGCTATATCATTTATGTCCAGAAGAGGACTCCGCTTGTCATTTAGAACACTGCCATAGCTGTTCCCACATTTTCTAACTAAAATCTATGAAATTATTTATCTATGTCATGTTATTATTAATCAATTTTATAGTTGAATTGCCATTGACCTTTACCAAATGTATATCCCAACATAACTAAGTAGGTTGGTTTATGTTTGTAAAGCACTTTGAAGATGGAGAGCATCATAAAAGTGCTATGTATTATTATTATTATTATTACACATTCAGTTGAAACATCCTACATTTTTTAAAAACACAACAAGCCAATCAAGTATCTGCACAATGAATAGATACTATATGTTCTACAGAAGAGTACAGGGAAAAGCAAAATAATAAAATAGTATATAAGCACTTCTAAACTTGACAAAAATCACCTCTGGAAACAAATCAGTCTCTTCATTCCATCCCATTTACAGTACTACGTATTCTGTAAGGCATATTATTTTAAAGTAAAATTGGTTTACAATACAAATACAAACATAAAGCTGAGAGCAGTCTGTCCTAATAAATGTACTCTTTGGATGTACATTTCTGCTTGCAAATCTATAATACGCATATACCACACTGATGAAATAGGATATAAATGCCTACGGAGGATATATAGACAAATATTCTGTAGAATGCTGCCCTGTAGATAGTTACCTGAGCTACCTCTCACAGTAGTACCAGGTCTGGTCATTAATAATTAGATCTGCGCACAGAGATGACCAATTAGTGTCCGCAGAGAACCTCATTAACTGACTATACTGCTGTTGAGACTGAGCAGTTGTCTCTGTAGAGGTGGCACTCTGATGTGCCACCTAAATGCAGAACAACTTGTACCAAAGTGGCTCGGGTGCTACCAACGCAGCCTGGCAGTGTGCAGTACGGACGCCCTCAAAGCCTCTTCCTGAAAATGGAACTGCACACACCTTAAAATTATGTATACAACATTTTTTTCCTCTCCTTTAAAATTTCATGCCAGTATTGAGGCTATGGACTGGTGAGCAAATCTGAACACTGAATGTTAATAAACTTATTGTGACATAAGCAAAAGCTATTCCCCTTCTTATCTAGACTCAGTGCCACGCAGCAGTGCAGATGTTCCACTGCAACATGACCCATTTCAGCTCTTGATCTGCTATTCAGTATAACATTAGCCTGCCCTTACACATGCCAACTCACGAAGACCTGTTACACTACATGGCATGTTTTCCCAAATTGCCTGCAAAGGCTCCATGAGGAGACATTGAGGAGCAAATTTCAAATTAATCACAAGGTGAAGGTTTTCAACCTGATGACAGGAAAGTGTCAAGCACCAAGCTGCACAAACACTACTGTGTTCATGAAATTAAAAAGCAAACTCTGTACTGGCCACTGCAAAGGAAGTGGTAGGTAATGCAAGGCAACTTTGGGACTTTATTGCTCCTGGGCATTTTAGATTCAAAAAGTAGATTGTGTGAGTGACACAAAGCATTATGAAGCATTCTATACATCATTCTAGAAAACACTCCTAAAGATACTCACAATGAAAAATAAAATCCTTGAAGTTTAACAGAAAAATTTCCAATAAAAAAAGAGTCCCCAAAAACCTGTTTTTCTATTGTAGAACTAATCTAATACTCACTAAATCAATAAAAAGCATTAATTCACAATACATGCTTTTAAGACCAAACATCCACTTACTTTTACTGCAGCCAAATAGGTTGTGGACATCCAAATTACTAGCATTGGGAACACAGTTGTCACATTTCAAGCCAGTTACAAATTGTTTACAGACACACTGTCCAGTAGCAAGATGACAAGTCCCACTAATGGCTCCTGCAGGATGACAATTACAACGCTGACATCTATAAACAAAACCAAATCAAGAAGTGATCAAAACACATTAGCACTTCAGTTAAGCACAGTAGGATTTTTAGTAGATTCTTTTGTCTTACATAATTAAAAAATCATAAACAGTTCAATAGTCTGAGACAGTAGAAAAATTAAATATTAGTCTTAAAAATGTAACTTAAAAAGAAGGTGCCTATTATTGAAACAGACATCAAAATCACAGTACCAGAGTAACTCTAATTTGTACAAAAGTGCTTAGAATTAACAGAGCTTTCTCGGTTGTGTAGAAATCTCTATACAGAATACATAACGCTTGGTAACAATCACATTATGAACTCAATCCTGCAGTGCTTCAAAGCTTAAAAGCTTCCGCCAAAAACATTCCAGCCTAAAGGAAATGTGACTTTTGCTGAAAAACAAAAAACAGTTAATAATTCGTTGTCCAGAAAGGCAAATGGAAGCCACAAAAAATTACATACCATAAAAAAGGAGAAAAAAAAAAAACAACAGAGACATACAAAGAGGAAAAAGCAAATTTAATGGGAAAATAATCACAGTGGCAGAAAAGCAAATATTGTAATGGACAGCACATTTTCTTTACTGCCCAACATCAAAACTGAAATATTATAAAGAGTATTTAAACACATAAGTAATAATTTATTTTTTAGTTTTTAATTTAATTTAAACAAAATTAAAACATCAGTATCATACAAATGTCACAATTGCACTGTGCAGATCTCTGGCATAGGTGGAACACTGTTTCTGTATTACTTCATCCTTTAGTGTCTGCATATGAAAACTCCCGTGATCAACCACTTGTTTTTCAAGTTGATATATTATTTTCCTACTGACAGTCATTTTTATTATGGATACTATAGTATTCAATGGCTCGCAAAATCTTTGAAGTTGAGCAACCTCTCTTATTGCAAGCACAGTATTGGGCAGTAATGTATCCCCTATCGTAATACAGGTGATCACTTGTAGTTCTAACAGGAATACTTAACAATAGCAAATAAAATATTATACTTTAGATTCCAATTTCGTTATCTATTATTTGCTGCAGGCTTAGGGAGCTTTCAAGAACCACGGACTGAAAGAAACACAGGACTGTGCAGGGTGCCCTCCTTCCTTCTCCTTGCCCTACGCCGCACAAGTGCTTTTTAGGAATTAGCAACATCAGCCAAGAGGGAACATTAAAGTGCTCCAGGTGCCAGGCCCCAAGATGATGAAGCACCAGAACAGACATTCACTAGAAGAGTCCAAAGGAGAGACAACGACACCCTGTCCCCTCCACTTTGCTAAGCCAGAGACTGCTCTAGAGTTGTTGATTTATGTTTGGCTCCATTTCCCTTGTCTGGTTTCACCAAGTGCAAGGAAATAGGTGGCAATATCTTTAGTCAAGTTAGTTCCCATTTTTTGCAGCCATCACCATCACTTTGTTCTATCTCTTTCTACCCATATGAAGGCAGCGAAGGTGAGTTGATTTATACTTTAGATATTGGCTTTTCAAAACAAGGGAGAAAGGAGGGGAGAGAAGGGAAGGGTTGAAACTGTTTTCACATTAAGCCACTAAAATTCAGGTCAATAATCAGTGAAATAGACATTAAATGTGACAGATTTCTAAACAAGTTTAAGAAAACTCTTCCCATATATTTTCTGCCCATCACAGAGCTCTCTCTATTAGAGTTCCTTCACTCCTTGGCAACTCTGGCCGTGTGATCTCCTGGGTAATCATTCAACACCCTTAAAAAGGCTGATAAAAGCTAAAGCTGCAAAATAAGCTGCAAATTTGTTTTATGGACTAATATCCCTTTGGGAACAAATAAAATACATTTTCTCTTGGAAACCACTATACTGTAGTTTGCTCTCTTTATAGTCAAGAGAAAAGGGCATTTTTTTCAAACTATATTAAGTCTTTTCATCTCTAGGCAGTGCATCCAAATCCCCCTTCAAGTAGAGGTTTTATTTAGACTATTTAAATGTCACAATTGAAAAAATGGTTTACTTTGAGAAAAAAAAAACAAAGAATTATTTGCTCAACAATGCAGCATTTTATTATTTCTTAATTTCATTACATGTTGATATTTAATAGTTCTTTTTTTTTTCCTTTTAAACAAATGTTTCAGTACATAAATAGTAAAATACAACCTTCTCTTAGTTTTCCCTATATATTAACTGCTCCTCTTATGAATAAGGGTCCCCTGAGCACACCAGTTTTCATTATCATTCACATATTATAATCAAATCAAACTCATTACACAAATATATTTCCACAGTAATAGTTTTCAGTTCCTGACAGGATGGGATTTTTTTTTTTGCTTGGAATTGTTGCCTTTTCTTCTAGGAAAAGTGTCAATGCCCTACCTTCTTCTACACTGATTTACGTCCTGATACTGCAAACAACAGCATTAAAATAATCCATTTCAATTTAATAGTGTTACTCATATGTATTTGCAAATGACACATGCATTACTTTCTTTAACTACAGAACACTAGAATTGGCCTCATTTTTATGCATAGATCATGCTTTTCAGTACTCTAAAATCAATCAAGGATTTAAAAGAAACAATTCTTTGAAATATTTAATTGTACATGAAATATTTTCAGTCTTCTTGTTAAATGCTGCTTCATCAAGACACTCTAAGTCAAATATATTTGAGTTTTATTAAAACAGAATTATATATAATCAAAGAAAACGGACTTCTAAAACATGGAAAGAGAAATGCCAGACCAAGATGAATTGCAATATTGATTTTGTGAGGATAAATGGTTTTTGTAATATTAATATAGAGAAACCTTTATTACATTGACTCTCTAGGTGCAGTTAGAGCCTCTCCAGCAATCTGTTTAAAATCTTCATTTTTCATCCTTATGGGAAAACTTCACTTGCTAAATGGATTTCATAAACAGTAATCTGTCAAGATATATATATATAGATAAACAATTTGTGATGTTCATTGACTAGTTCATTATAGTAAACAATACAGAGGTAAGGCTTCTCAAATAGGTACCAATGCTCACAGCCGCGCGAGATCTATTCAGACTACAGGAAACACACAGAATCTTGAATTCCCCAACAGCCGAGGAAGTTTTTCTGCTTTATAACCCGGAATGCATAGTAATCAATATTCACCCACACACACACACATATTTCTGTAAGACCAGAAGGATTTCAAAGACGTGCAATCTCTGTGTGTCATGACAGCACACAAAGTCTCACTACACAATAGCAGAAAAGAGCCAAAAGCTAAAACAGGTATGTCTTTGCCACTACACATGGCTCCTACTTGTTTTATTCTGTAATCCCAGATTACTTTAAAAAATCCAAGTATGACTTCTTTACACGGGAAAAAAGTGCTCGTTCTTTTTGGAAAGAAGATTTTAACAGTTGAGAGAAATTAATGTAAATAGATAAATAAAATCCTGGATTATCATTTTCAGTGGATTAATATTTCCACCTGAGGGACAGAGGTGCATTGCCCAAATAGATGCTAACAATAAAGGAACACAAGAGTATGCAAAGATAGTTAATCATGTTGCTTAATGTACTACCAGAGCAGTCTTCAATTCTGTCAACAGGATCAGGGAATATTAAGGTATTAAAGCCAGTTTTGATTCAAAATCCTAAACTGCAAAATCTTCCTATATTTACAGCAAGGTAAGCAACTGATTTGTATCTAGATAATTGTAGATATTCTGTACTTTGAATCTCAAGGGACAGTTGAAGAGGCAAGTAGTTGGAGCCCACTGTCTACTGCAGGAGACACACTCCTTTTTGGAGCTGTTGCTCAACAGTGACATAAACTTTTCCATTACCTGCTTGAATGGAAAAGAAAAATCCATTCCAAATATATATATACAATGTACATATTTAGCAATAAAAACAAGGAAGATGTGAGAACTTCAATATTATACAAATTTTATTCCTTGCCATTAGAAATGACAGGAGGTAAAAATAGGAAGTCCTAATGTCTAACAATTACTTTATGGCCATTAGCAGATGCCTCTGTGATTGACAATGCTAAAAAGTAATTTTTAAAAACCTCCTTATGAATTACAGTAAAATAAAGTAAAGAATCTGCAGAATAATGGCAAGTAAATACAAGAAGACACAGAAAAAAAATCACAGCCTAAAAGCATGTCTACCCCATACTACTTGGGGGAAAGGAACACAGTAGAATGAACTTTCTACAGATTTTAAGCCATTTTTTTTTAGAGGGCAAAAATAATAAACAAAGAAATACTGCCCACCATTATTCAGTATCAAAATACAATAGTATTAGTATAGTATAGCTGTGCAATCTTATCAAACAACATTTAGAAGGAAATTAAGAAGGAAATTAAGATTGCGAGAATTAGCAAGAGAAGTTGCTGAAAGAGAAGAATAGAGCACCAGTCAGAATAAAAATGCACCACCTCTAAATATTCCAGGAAATATATTCATGTAATTGTTGTGTATATAAAGGCCTATGCTACATGAGATAAATAATTTATGTTGTTGCACATAATTAAGTACAGGTAAAGAATTCTTAAATTCTTCTTTAAATTCTTCTTCAGAAAAACAGATTTTTAAGAGGAATAGTGCTGTAAGCCTTTCTATTACTATATATGTATCATTCAAAATACATACTTTAATTGTTAATGATTAGTACCTTAAACACCAATCCAGCTCGCTGAGGAGAAAGGAACTATAGTGAAGCAATATCAAGTATCTATAACATTAAGCATATCATGTATAGCTTTCACGTTGCTTCTACTTAAATCAGTGGCAAAACTTCTATTTACTCCAGTACGTATGAGCACAAGGGGCTGTATAACATATCATATGTAAATCTGAGAGTGCGCATATGAATTCAAGGGAATAATTAATGTAAATAGATCATATCTGTATTGTCGCTGAAACCTTAGATCTAGCTAACATGAGAAAAATATAACCTAGATGTTAAAATCATCTGTAAAAAGGAAACACTCACCTCCCTGTGACAGAGTCAAATCCAAAATAAAGTTCTGTGCAATGCTCACACGTTCGTCCTGTTACAGAGGCGTCTCGGCAGATACACTGGCCACTAAGTTTATCACAAACCTGACTCACTGAACCAACTATGTGGCACAGACATGGCAGACAGCCAGTGACACTGGATGGAGAAAAATAAAAACCTAGGAAGAAATAAAGTGTTTTTAATAATACACAAGAAAAACAGAAAAGAAGTGAGCTCAATGACCATTATTAACTTGGGTATAATCTGGAATGAAAGAACGGAGTCAAAGATCAGGTAATACAGGAACACACCAACACAAATAAAGCAATAGAGTCCTCTTGCAGGGCACGTTTTCTATATTTTATTCACTAGAATTTTGTAAAGCTATTAGTCACTGTCCAGTTGCAAATTTCTATTCTTTACTCTCTCTTCAGACTTTGTTTTAGACAGAAAATGTAAAATAAAAGAACTACATTAATGTATCCATGAGCAAAGACAAAAACCAAGAATACGAGAGCCACTACAGAATGTACCACAAGACACAGGAACATAAAAAATATTGTGCAAGAACAAACATTTATCCTGTCTAGTCTGGGATCTCCTCTCTGCCAACAGCCAGTATTAAAAAGTTGCCAACAAATGCAAAAAGTTCATATGTTTTCTTAAAAAGTCCCTTGTTTCTTATGTAGCGGCTGCTTTAAACTGGAACATGATGTTGCTTCTTAAGAAAATCTGTATTTGGTGAGCATCCCCAGGTCTATATAAATATTTATATTTTACTCTACTGAATCTATAATTTGTATCCTCCTCCAGTAGATTTTCAGAGCTTAAAAAAAAATGAAAAAATGTAACTTTTCTGGTATTAAAAAGCTATCATTCTGAATACCATCCTTCTCTTCTTGCATTATAATAAATGACGAACTGGAGCTTTCAGTTTACCTTCTCTGCAATATATTTGGTGTATTTCTGCTATACTGCCTTTCATCCTTTCTTAAGTAATCTTTATCTATGCAAGTCTTTAACCTAATTATTAATAAACACAGGTGGATACAGTTTATCCGCTTCTCATATGGGCAGTGAAGAAATTACTCCTTATTCTTTGCCTTGCCTGAAATTTCAAACAAAAGAGATTTTAGGCACAATTTGTTTCAGTGACACTGTGCCACTGGGATAATCTATTTTGCTACCTATCCGTTTCTTCCATTCATCAGGTCACAAGACAATTCAAGTAAAGGAATACCACTAAGCAATATAACTGCAAAATATTTGCTAAAATTATTTTCTGTTTTTTACTGGACCGTTCATGGACGTTTCGCTGAGTTTTTCAAACAAATTTCTCTGTCTTTTTTTCCCTTGGTGATACAGTTGGTAAAAATGCAGTGATGCTTATGTGTTATTCAAATGATGATGGTGACACAGCATTAACTGACACTTGCCAGCAACAAATACCTATCTCTGAACATCAGTCTTTAGACAAGGCCATTAGTTCGGAGTTTCTGTCTTGTCAGCTGGTTGTCATTATTCTTTACTACACAACTTAAGCAAAATGTCTTTCTTTACTCAAATACATATGTAGTATTTTGAAAGGCTTCATGGACATGTTCCCCCCTCCCTAAATTTCCATCAGCTTTTTTCTTAGTGATGTTCTCAGTTACTGAATCTTTGCAGCTGTCCAATAACTTTCTCATGCCTTGCTTTATAATAAAAAGAAACAAATTGCATTTCAACATGCCATCTTGCCCAAGGCCTTATTATTTATTTTGTCTTACAAGAGATAGCCTTATATATATACCCCTAGGGTAGTATTGTCTGTCTTTGCTGTAGTGCTGCACAGTGAGCTCATATCCAAATAGCAGAAGAACTAAACAAATTGAAAGCATTAGAATTTTACTGCTCAAACCTTTGCTCAAGTTTAGCCTCTGGTCCTCAGCGAGATAAATCTCAAGTGGACAGTGAAGTGATATCAGTCTCCAGTTAACATACAGCCGCATCATAAAACAACCCTGCTGTTGGCACTTTATTCCAGAGAGGCCCAGAGCTGAGCCACCACAGACACTGAATAGCTTCAAGTTATTAGTGAGGCAGCATGTATTATCTCGTCCTGCAGTTGACTGCACGCTACACTACCCGTCTTGTGCATAAACAGAGGAGACCATTTCCCGGCAATGTCACTCTTGAGCACAATGAACAGCTCCACTCGAAGAACGCAACGCCAAGATAGGAAACAAGTTTAAGCCTAGACTCCTGCAGAAGGTCAAAGCACTTCTCCAGTACCCAATTGATGGCGTGCAGCGAATGATAAACTCTCATGCTAACACACAGTCTCTTCATTCGGAAATTTAGCATAAAACTAACGTGTTAGAAAAGATCATAGTCGATAAATAAGCGCATGTCTAACACACAAATCATCTCAGCTGGGCTGAATTGATCACTACCACACCTGTTGTTTTTGCCACAGCAGAAAAATGCATAATTTATATATATATAGTTAACCAGCCTCCAGGTATCCTAATATCACAACAGCTAAAACACTGTAGAACAATATTCTCAGAACCTCAGAATAGCTGAGGTTGGAAGGGACCTCTACAGATCATCTAGCCCAACCCTCCCCTGCTCAAGCAGGGACACCTAAAGCACGTGGCACAGGGGTTCTTTTGGCACAATATGTTTTGATAGAAGTGTCTTTTGCAAATGCTCTAAAAGTTTAATTAGGGGATGCTACCACAGTATTTAAAAATATCTTAATAAAGTTGCAAGTAAAAGTGAAGGTTAAAAAAAAGTACAAGCAAATGTGAGGAACAGGGAAAATGGGTGCAAACCTTTCCCCCAACTAGTTCATGAAAATAAATTAATATTATTAACGTAGACAGGAGAAGAGGCCTTAGATCAAAAATCCATGCTGTTGGTCGTAACTATTATTTACTTCCACTACCTGGACTTCGTCAGAAAAGAGTAAGAAGCAACTGTTGATGCAAGCCTAATTTACAGCAATGCTGGAATGGCCCATAAACATTGCTTTGTGAAGGATCTACTGCTGCATAATAAAGCCAATTCCAATGTTTTAGAGAGCTATTGCAAATTTCTGCAAAATCTAAGTATATAACTGGCATTATGCTAATTCTTCCATTTTTTTCCAATTCATTAGCAACTGATCATATTTGTCAAATAGTCCTTCGAAAGGAAAAATAAAAGCCGTAGCAAAGCATTCATCTTTCTTATTCTAATGATATTCTTATTATCTCTTCTTCTATATATACCTATCTCATGAAAAGGAAAACCTGAAAAATCCCATAGAATGTTTACCCTGTGGGGGCAAGTCTTCATTCTTAACCACATACTGTGCTACAAATACAATTAAAAGAGTATTAACAACACTAATAACTATCATTACATCCTATCTATCTATACGCAACCTGTATTCCTCTCAGAAATCTAAATGGAAGTGGAAGTGCCCCAACAACTTAAAAAGTCCTTAACATTTTTAGGGTTGCTAATTTTATCTAATTAACTGCATGCTTTTAATTAGGCTGTGTTGGCTACAAATATACTTCAAGTGCATTTTCTTATCTTCGTCCCAAGGCAAAGCCAAAGGACATGTTTAACATACTTGAAACCAATTAAGCTCCTCCATACTTCTGTAACTTAATTCCACTGTTACTACCAGACATTACCATCATGTAATCTTAAAAAAAAAAGTACTTACAATTGCATATTATTATATTACTTATAATTATATAAAACTACTGCAAAATTTTCAAAAATGGGAGTTTCATTGCTTTCTTTCTTAAGAAACAGTCTTGGACACATTAAGTAAGTTGTCTAACAGTTATCTAATAGCTCTTTATTTCTTAATTTTACTGAGCTTGTTGCATTCTGTGTTACCTTCTCTTTAAATAAACGCTGCCATTAGCAGCAATGAACTACTCACTGGTACAGTCTGGCCTTCTGGAGATTTTGGCCTGCTGGTTTTGTTCTTTTGAATCTTCTTTTAACCCTCATCTTTCCTGTAACAACCAGCCCTGTTTTACCTTCCCTTTGGAAATATATTAATAAGGAATATTTATAAAAAAAACTACAACTGCATTTAACATCTAAATCAGCTCACATGGGTATTAATACTAAAATATTACTGGAAGTACCATGACACACTGCAACACTAGCATCAATACACCACTCGCAACGTTAAGGGCTTACACTACACCTGCAGAAGAGAACTCAGTGTTCATTACACACAGACTTATGTTCATTTCTTAGCAACTTTAAAAATAATTACTATAACAAGACTTCATATATAAAAAAACCCTACTGTTTAAGTATCCCTTTGAGTGCCACGTAGGCTTTTCCGCACAGTAGCCTGTTCATCCTATCAATTAAACCTTTCTAAACCATTTAGTTCTGCATAAACCCTGGCCTTTATTTTTCAAGGACAAGCACGGTCACTGACTCAGGAAGCCTTGACATCGCTCCTCTGCCCATCTCTGATTAAGTGGCTGCTGTAGTGGGTTAGCAGGTCAAACAGCACTGGAGGAGGAACTAAGGAAAACAGAACACTGCCTTATTTATTAGTATATGCACCTAAAATAATTTAAATTAAAATATTTTTTAAAATTCTTAATGGAGGTTAAGCAGCTTTTTTAACCCCTGTTCAAATTATTGAATGGCATATTAAAACCAATGGGGCTATAATGTACCTTCTAATGCGACCTGCTATTTTAATAAACTGCATATATATTTAACTTGAACTATATCTATGTGCTCAATATTACTAAAGGTAGGTTAATAATGCCTGTAGTTTGACTCTATCCAACTACTGTTTAAAACAAAAACATTGCAATATAGCCTCAGAGCTACCTACTTAAAATGAATACTTAAAATTCTACTTTTAGTAATAGAATAGGCAACCTTGAACTATGATGCAACTACTGCAGTACCAGCTACTTAGAGGGCTAAACTGTAAGTAAACCTTGTGAAAATCAGCACACCCCCAATACAGTGAGGCAGGTGTAGTTTTTTCAAGCAATATGTTTGCCTACCTTATAAGAGCTCAAAAACCATCTCTGTATCTCCCACCACACTGAGACTTATGCATGACGAGGGCAAGAGGGCTCTACCTCAGCGTTCCTACGGGGACAGCTGATATTCCTACAGCTATGCAGTAACGTGCCTCCTGCACTGCCATTCAGTGAATGGGCTGTGACCAGCTGTGTATTTTTTCAACTCTTAGAAGCACTAGGCCTAACCCTATTCTGGACCTGCTGCAGTAATACACATTATTCTCTTGCCCCTGTAAGGCAACGTATGTGATAGTGAATAGGACATTCGTTTTTCTTCTTACTCACAGAGGTTGGAAGAAATAAGAAAAAAAATGAAATTAATAGTAGTTTAAGAGATGTGTCAGGCAACAACTGTGTAGAGGCAACAACTGTGTAGCAGCATATTAAAAACTGTAGGAACTATGACAACATGCAACAAAGCAAAAGTTACTACACTGAAAGGATTTTCTTCCAACATCCTTACCAGCTTTGCACTCATGGCACCTTCTTCCCTCGCGATGAGGCAGACACACACACTGCCCAGAGCTGTGGTCACAAACCGTCCCGGTGAACGTACCCAGGGCGTCGCAGTCACAGCGCTGGCAGCCAAGAGGGTTGCTCATGCTGAGGTTGTACATGTGAAGCACGCACTGGCTGCACTGCAGGCCAGTGACACCAGCTTTGCAGGGACACTGTCCCGTTGACTTGTCACACAGCACAGAGCTGTTTACTGTACCTGCCTTATCACAGTTACAGGGCAGACAAACAAAGGAGGCGTTTTGTTGTACTTTGTGGTAGCCGTCTGCACATTCATCGCATTGCCTTCCTCCAACGTTTGGTTTACACACACATTGTCCTGTCTTAGCATCGCACACAGCCCCAGAAAGTGACCCTGCAACGTTGCATTCACAAGCTTTACAGCCAGTTACATCCAGGCCATAAAAGTTCTCCATGCAGGTGTCGCAGTGAAGTCCTTTTACTTGTTCCTTGCAGCTACACTGCCCCGTAAGAGGGTTGCAGAACTGGTTCACTGAGCCATGGACATTGCACCAGCAAGGCTCACATCCCTCTTCATTAGAACTTCTGAGAGCTTTAAATCCAAAATTGCAGCTATCACACCTATGGCCTGAAAAGAGAAAAGCTATTAATAAGAGAGCCAAAACACCATTCATTTCAACAAAAACAAAAAGTATATTACACTTAAAAAGAGAAAAAAGAAAGAGAGAAAAAAAGAAATGACTAATCTTTTCCTTCACCACTATAATTAACGGGAATTGAAAGACTGAACGAATCAATTGAACAACAGCGACATCCATGAAAACAGTTTACTCTTCCAATTTTGTTTCAGAAACAACGCAATGTGTTTCAGTCATCTTCTCAATATTAAGAAGAAAATCTTAAGATATTTCCACAAGAGATTTTAACACACCCCTACGGAAAAGAAAATCATCTATGCAATCCTCGAAACCACCTGTTACACTGTTCCCCTCAGTAAGTAGAAATCCAGCACACAAGAAATTGTGCTGCTTTTTTAACAAATTTATATGGTATATTAAAAACATTATATATATTCTAGGACAACACAAGTCAGACTAATTGCTATGAATGAGTTACTTAACACTGTACTCCAATTTCCATGTTGATTACACGTCTGTTGGTGTTTACTGTTAGCCCTTACTGAATGCAGAAACATTTTCCATAATCCACAATGAAATAATATTTTTATCTAAATGTTTGATTTAGTTAACTCCTACAGTGCATTAAAATCTAAACTGTTTTCTTAATATTTCATCCTACAGCTTTATTAGCTTTGTTTTCAAAGTCATTGCTTTATCCCTGCCTCCAGGGATAGCATTTGTATTTTAGTTTATAAAATGTACATTACAAGAAAGCAAACTAGATTATTATATGAAAAATGCAAATTCACAGTTATGTATTTTCCCTTGCAATGGGAAAATCCTTTGCTATGAAGCTATCATTAAATAGTTGCACCAGAAAAAAAGAATAATCTAATACTCTAGCAAAATGCTACCATCATTCAAAAATATAAAAACATACAAAAATACCTTTAGTAACTTACATGTAGCAAAATAAAATTTTTAATAGTAGGAAGTTCTTTATATACATGAATAAAAACTCAAAAACTCAAAGAGACGGCAAGTTCCTTTAACAGTGATAAATGGCTCACCTAAGGCATATCATTTAATTTCAATAAGGAAAATAAAAAAGGACCACTATTGCTGCAAATTTTAAAAATAACTGTATTGTTAACAAGAATTATGACTCATTTTGAACTATTAAAATTGGTCTACATGGATTCATATCATATCAGTTTTAAAAATATGCGCAGTGCTTATTTGAATACGCCATACATATTCCTGACAGGTAATCTATTCCTAACGATACTGAGGAAGGCCTACAGGGCATCACATTCAATGTTAACAAGTACAGGGGAGTTAGCATGCTTGGCATTTAATTCACATTCTTCTACCTTTTTATTCTAGATGAATGACCTACTTTAATAAAATTATTGGTGCTAATGTATTTTACTGGTGATAGAATCATTAGTAAGATTTAACAGTTGTGTTAACTCTAACAGTTCACGTTTGATAACACCCCAGTCCATGGATGCATTTTTCTCTTATCCTGTTTGTTTAAATAGATAAAATGGCAAGAGACAGATTGCTCTAAAAACCAATTTAGAAACCCAGAGAGGAAAGCCTTCTTTGTTAAAGTTTACAGCACAGTTTTGGCAAATTACATTTGGTAAATCAAATTTACTTAAACATGTACTAACATATAGAAGCTTATTTACATTTGGCTTGGAGAACAAAAAAAAAAAAAAAAAAAGAATCAGGACTTTATCCTATGAATAGTGAAGCACTTGCTTAACAACAGTGACTCACCATATTTACAGGTAAATTAGAGATTCTGCCCTTTTTATATACCAAATTCCTACTGAGATTAATTAAAAAAAAAAAAAAAAAAAAAAACCTTTGCAGACATTGGGGATGAACCTGGCCAAACCCAAAATGTAAGCAAAGAACATATAACTAAGAATATCATGAAGTCCATCTTATTGAACATTGAAAATGTTTTCTTATGAGGCATGGAAACATTCACAGAGGTTAAGAGGGCTCTTAGCACCCCTTACATTACATGGAAAACATAAGTACTTGGCATTCCACAGGAAAGACAATACAAACTGTTAACACTTATGTCTGTCTATACTCATTTTCATTACTTGTTGTTTTGTATTTGCTTTTGGAAACCACAATCAGAAAAAAAAAATAAGAGGGAATAAAAACAGTATTCAGGATTCACTGTAAAAATTTAGTATTCACAATTCAGTGAATTATAAATTAGCAGATACTTGATTTTTTTCTTAATACAACCTAAAACTATGGTTAGGTGAATAAAAAAAACACATCTACTATGTTAATAACAAAGCAAAACAGGATTTTTTTTTGAGACATATGCATAGTTTGAGACATGTACAGTTACCATGCAAGGCTCACTTTATCAGGAAATTCTCCTTGCATAATATTCCCATACATCAACATTTCAAAGTGTATTATATATACTGTGTACTTTGGGCACTTGATAAATTTTGTCCTTATGTGGCTGTGGCTCCCCTCAAATATGCTGGAAGTAATAAATTGCTATAATCAAATCTAATTTCTGAAAAATACCTGTGGGAGTAACAAACAAAAAAGCACGTCTTGTAAAAAAAATGATAAATAACACAGAAGGTAGCAGTTTATTATAATCAGCTTGGCATTGAATTACAAAATTAAAATTATGTGGCCCTTGATAACTAACCCTAGCAATGTACATGATCTGTGGAATGATGTTGACTTATTTTGCATTTCATAGAAACAGTTCAAAGAAATATAATAGAAAAAAATGGACAGATTTATCACAAAGGACTCTGTAGCAGAGAATATTTTGAGAAAAAAAAATCCATTTATTTTTGTCTATTAAGAAAACTAGCATGGAAACGATTTGCTTAGAACTCATTAAGTATAAAACATTCTGAAAAAAGTGTTAATTTCCTGAAAGAAACATCTATGCAGTAAGCAAATTACATTATTTCTGTGACTTATTAGTACGGAGCTATGTAAGCTAATGCAACTATGCCATAAAGAAACTTCTAAAGGGTTGATTAAACTAAGCTTCAAGCTGTAGTTTGATAGAATTATTAAATTAATAATTTTCCAACAGTTAATTTCATTCAGTTTTTAATCTGCCTTCAGCAAAGAAGTTTACTATACTTTTCATTTAGAAATCAAGTGTTTTTTATTTCCACAGATAATAAGAAAAATGGCTCCGAAGTCTTCCATTGCACATACCAATAACATTTGCTTTGCACTTGCACTGGCCTGAATTTTGGTGACAGGTAATATCTCCATTGATTGTCCCAGAGGTATTACAGTTACAAGGACTGCAGCCATCAGGGTTTGACTGTTGTAGATTGTAGAATCCTTCCTGGCACTGATTGCATTGTCTGCCAGACACATGTCTCTTACAATTACACTGGCCTCCAATCTAGAAAGATACAAAATATTATAGAATGATGAACATATCTATTTTTAGATGATACACTCATTAGCAACAAGAATGGGAGCATAAGATGAGGCGGAAGAAACTAACTTTAAATGGACCAGAAAAAATAAGCTTGAGTAACACATTTTTCTCCCGATCCATTTTTTTTTTAATTATAAAAAGTTAAATATTAAAGAGTAACTATTGAATTTTAACTAGATTTAAGCCATGAAAAAGTCTCGTGTTTTCAAAAAGGGAGGAAAAGGAATTGAGTAAACAATGCAGAAATATTTAAAGCAGGACAAAGTAACCTGAAGAATATCTAAGTTGTATTGTATAAATGGTAAATTCTCATAAAACAAACCACTACTTTGAATCACAGAAGATCTGTATTTTCTTGTTCAAAACATATGCAACAACATTTATTTTTCCCAACATTGTAGTTTGATGAGAATGAAGCAATGCTGAAAGACTTCCTGATTGATTCCTCGAAAAACACTCCAGGACAAATTTTCTCTGCCTTTACAGAGAAGCCAAGGGCTTGGCGTGTTTGGAACCCTCTCCCTTTCCTAAGTCCAGCTGGGATCTGAGTCTTTCCCCTCAGTGTTGGGACATAAAGCTCCTTCTCTGTTCTCCTATGGTAGCATTTGACTCAGTCGATGCTGTCTTTGAGACATGATGATTTGAGGGCTTTTGCCTCATATCTTGTGCAAAACTAAACAGATTAGGCAATATTCAATATGATGAGGAGAGGGGAGTTGAGCAATACAGAAAAGCATAATGCCTGGTTTGGCAAAAAAGTTGAGGATCCACAATGAAAGAAACAAAAACACATCCCAAGACCCAAACCAGTAAGAGGCAAGTAGAGAGATTTTCTATGGACTACAGAAAAGGTGGGAAGGCCATGAAAAGAGAGAGGTAGTAGGGTAAATGTTCCATCAATAAAGTGCTGCCTGAAACTGAAGCAGAATAGTTTCCTTTTCATCTAAACTCTAAGAAAGAAAATCTACCAATATCTTGGGATGGACATTACGTCTGCTGTTCTTAACCACATTGTGATAGAAATTACATATCAGATATTTACATCTATCATTCTTATTACCATATCACAGGAATTTTTCATGGAATTGAAAAATTATTTATGAGCTAGAGAATATCCTTGATAGCTTCTAGTCCCCAAATGTCTTCATTTTAAGCGAACATCACAAGTACGAACTGTACATATGACCATTAGCCTCAGAAAATAATACTGGTTTCAATAAAAATATAAAACAAAGCTAAAGAAATTGTGGAAAAAATGTGGAAAAAAAAGACACTGAAGTTCCTTACGGGTGACTAATATCCTCTCATTATATGATCAACTGAATGCAGGCTTTTGGGAATGAAGAAATGAGCCACTGGTCCAACAGCAGAAAGCAGGTATGCGTTCCGCTCTGCCCACTTGCAGCTTGCGATACTGGAGCGTTTTTTTTCCCAATTCTGCAGCTGCCTGTCCCACCATTATGTGTAACTACATGGAATAACGGCAGGGTTAAGGGGAGCAGGGTGCACAACAGTGATTGCCATATGAGAACATCTCAGAAGCTCATGCCCCACTGTGCAACTGAGGTCTGCTTCCCGACCTGTGACCAAAGAAATTAAAGCTGTGCATGTCTTGGGCAGTTTAATATGTCCCATTTAAGCTCTGTGTTCTGAATATTGTGTTAGTAGTGGAGCATGATTGTTTCACTTGCTTTATGTGGATTCTCAGCAGTTAGCAGGAATAGTGTCTGTGACAAAATGGGAAGGTATGGTAAAATATAAGGTGCTTTTTAATTTTTCTTGTAACTCAAGTTACAATTCACTCAAGTACTTGAGGAAGTTACCTCCTCATGACCTTATTGACGGTCGTGCTGGGTTAATGCACAAACACACTGGAGCACAGTGCTTGTACCACTGTCTCTTTACAGATTTCATTTTCCCAAACTCAGATGTGCTGAGGAATGCAGACGTACCATAGACAATGAAAATTGTGTGTTATAAGTAAAAAAAATTCCTGACCCAAAGAAATTAATTGCAGATATTGACATAAATCAAAAAGCACAGTTATTCAAATCTACAGGGAGTCCTCTTCTGTAGCATCAGCTGCTGTAATTCAACACACTTGGCTTTTAATCAACTACTCAAACAATAAAAGCTTCTCTTCATAGTTGTCTTCACTGAAAATCTACAAGCCAGGCAAAACTGAAAGCAATGGAACAGACCTTTGGTACTTGGGACAAAGCTACTCAGAAGTTCCACATGAGCATATGTTCCTATCTATCCTTCCCAAACGTATTCTATGGTATAATAAAATCTCCCCAGTGTGCTATCACCATGGAACTATCATTGATGTGTCGCTGATATTTTGCAGAAAGAAGAAAAATTTTAAAGGCAGGAAATAATATTTTAAAATAAATATTTAAAATAAAAGTAAAAACCAAAGGTTTGGTTTTTGCAAACCAAAGGTAAGATAACATTAAGCACAAAACGGCAGGGGAGTTAAGAGAGGGCAGAACAGCAAAAAAATCAAGAAGGATTAAAGAATTCACAAACAAAAAGCAATTCAGTCTAATCCTAAATGAAGGACAATATCTATTTTAATACACAGCTATAAAGGAATCATTCTGTGTCTGAGTTTAGCATACTGAAACCACACAGCATATCATCACAGCCTTTATCTTTTCAGAGGAAAATTACACAGAAAGGACGAAACTTGTCAAAGAAGTGAAAGTGCTAAGAAAGAGCATAAAACTTTTACTTTTTATCTTATATAAAGATATCTCCCCCTAGAGCTCAGTAGAAGTACATAGCATAATCCAAAAAGCTACCTTATGAAGGAAAGCATTAGATGGAAAAAATAAGACTTTCAAAGACTGAGAGTCAGATCAGAATTAGAAAATTAAATATCACCAGCAAATTTAAAAAAACATAATAAGGCTGTCCAAAAACAGATTTTTAAAGAATAAGTTGCTAAAACATGAAGGGGAAAAAGGGTTTTCAAAGGTCAGAAGCATCTGAACCAAAAGAAGCCTACTAGAGAATTAGCACGGTCAGTAAATAATTACGTTGTACAATAAGCTGATTCAAATTGGATAGCAGGCTTTTTTCCATGACGAGGGAAATGCAGCATTAGAACATGTTGCTCAGATAGAATGTGGAATCTCTATCCTCACAGATATTCAAGACTTAGCTAAACAAAACTGTGACTGGTTTGACAGAGTTGACAACAGTCCTGCTTCATGGTGGAGCAGATGGCCAGCTAATACATCTGTGATTCTATGAAGCATTCAAGGCAGAGACAAAACACAGAAAAAGCATTTTGCAACTGTTCCCTATAAGAGAGTTTACAGAGTTATCCATAACTCCATCTTATATTAGGAACAATTTTCAAGACTTCATTCAAATTGAAATCTCACAAAGAAAAGATTTTAGCAAGATCTGACCTATCGAAAAGTAACTATACATGAAAACAAGGCACAAGTCAGCCTAGAGTTCTAGAGGAATTCAAATGTGAAATTAATGAATTATTATTTGCTTAAATCAACCTCAATACAAGAGGAATAGAAAAAGGTAAAACTAATCTCTTACAAAGGCTCTAAGATATGTGAACATGAGTTTGATATAGTGGAAAAGATTTTTTGGTTTATCTTTCAAGGGAAAATCATGCCTCATGGTTCTACTGAAATTCTTGGTTACACAGCAAAATGTGGAAATACTGTACAGGCATAAGTTAAACCAAACTGGTGATCAAAACATCAAATCAATTTCTGTAAGAAAAAAATGCAAGGAAAACACGCAGGGAGAAACAATACTGACTACAGGTGGACAGTCCTAAATGAAGTCCCAGTAAGCCCTAAATGAGGACTTAATAGATCTGAAAATAGGTTTCTATTGGCCATTGTTATGCAGATCTGACACTTGTCCAGATATCCCAAATATTTATTTGAGAAATAAAAATCCTATCTTGGTTTAAGAAACATATACATGCATAGGTACATAGATTTTGATGTTTTTAATATTGGCAAATGGTAAGCTAAATTTTCTAGTGTGTTTTTTAAAAATCAAAATAAATTCTGAGGAGAGAAAACAGGAAATTCAAATGAGTAATATTTAAGGGGCACACATAAAGGTGAAATTTGAAGTATGACCAAATGCTCAGGTGGAAGCATGAGAATCTATGTTTTCATTTGACTCCTTAGAGAAAACATTTTGTCCACCTTAAAAAGGATTTTCATGTATCACAAGTCAGGACAACTACCACCCTGGCAGAAGGCAATTAAGCCTTTGCAACTCCAGCAGGACAGTATATAGCTTCTTTGCAAGCTATGAGTAAAATTAAAAAATAAAATAAAACACAGAAAAAGCTGGGAGAAGAAAGATATCTAGATTCAGCGAGACTTGAATAGAGAGTTCCAAAGAACAGGTAAAAAGCCATGGCAGCACTTTCAGCTCCAACTAGAAAAAAAATGCCCTGGAAAAGAGCAGGTTTTTTATGTCATTATGCATGGAATATCATAACAGAATCAAGAAAGAACTGCAAACTGCTGTGCCTGATTGAATACAGATGCAGTGCTATATTGGTCTGGGTAAAAAGCAGGAAAATGAGTCAAGAATTGAGGTGTAAGGGCCAGAATAAACTAATCTCCAGCTGTATGGGAATACAGAACATAAATTATCACATTCGTGGGTTTCTGGCAGCATTTTCTCCTTTGTGAATGGTGGGGTAGAATGGCAGAAAGCAGGCAATTCTCCTTTCATTTGCAAAGCTTTGGCACCTTAATTAATTCATCTGGACTTTCTGATTATTTGACTTCTTTGCCAAAAGTTCGCAAGGAGGATGTAACCAACATGCATCTTCTCTGTATGCACTGGAGATCAATAACTAGCACAGATGTAAAAACCAAAACCAAAACAGATCTTTTAAGTAAACTGTAGCAATTCTCTGTCTTTACCCACTAGTCGCAAGGGATGATTTCTCACTTCAAAAAGCAAAGTGTCCAGTGAACTGCTCTTGGGTGTGCTGCTACATCTCTCTTAACACCCCAGTCATAAGGTTAGAATACAGTTTTACAATTAGTAATTACAAATGAAGTTACACATAACTGACCTAGCGTTGCATGAGAACTGATAAACCTATGGAAGGGAGAAGCAATAAATACCTGCACATAGCTCCTACCAAGGGGAGAGAGAAATAGGTGAATGGAACTGGCATAAAGGTTTCATTATCAGCCCAAACAAAAGAGATGGGACTAGCAGTGTTGCAGTAAGCTCTTCTACCTATTCGCAAAGGTATTGACATTAATATTACTTTACTTGATGAGTAAATATTCTATATGATTCAACAGATAAATCTGTGATTCAGTGGAGTGGCTTTATAACTCTGTACCTCTTGGAACTTAATGAAAACAACTAGCACTCCACAGAAAGAAAAAATCTTGATGAACTGCTGAAAATGGTAAATTATGCAGTAAAAGCGTGTTCTGTACCATTTTTGGCATATTTCCTTGAAAATTATCGTTGTGACGTGACAATTAATTTTCATGAGTAGGGTCCTTATTTCTTATGATTCCATCTTCCACAGGTCAAATCTGGAAACACTTCCTTCAATGATGCCTTCCCATTTCATGTAATTCATTTCAGCCTTTACTCTCCAGACGTATTAATCTATTCTTTAATGCCTCTTAATCATTTCTCTTCGCACTGCTTCTACTGCAGCAGTCAATTGATGCTTTATTGAGCAGTTTCCTCCATTTTTCCCATTTTATCTTCAGACCGTACTCACATACTCAAGCTTCATCATTAACTTTTTGGTACATTTTACTGTTAAATTAGTTATTGCTGCAAGTTTGTAAAAGACTCCTCCTTTAATTATTAATGCCAGCTACAGTTGTTTTAGGTTAATCAGAAACCATGAACATGCAGGTCAGCGTTTG